AAAGCGGTTGAAACCTTTCCGTTAAAAATGGCAGGGTTCATTAACAATCACTACCGAATTTACTTTTTTTCGCGCCCGAATGTCACTCCAATGCAACTATTTCAGCCGAGAAAAAATGATTTTGAACTCGATTATATCTCCACTCTAAAGAATGCCATTTCTTGTCAGAGAGATTTCAATTTAACCAAATTCTCAAACGCTATTCTCAACTTTGTCTGCATCCTCCCTGCTTGAATCCTTTTGATCTCCTTGTGTTTTCCCGACGTTTCTGTCTCCAGTAGTTTACTCCCTGAAAATAGAATCGATAAACTTACGTAAGGAATAACTTAAAGTGTGGAAACGAATGAGTAAATGAGGAGTAAAGAATTCGCAGTGAATTTTTCAACACGAGTGGGCGTTGACAGGCACAAGACAACGTTTGACAAAGAAACGCTGCTTTCACGAAGAACGCTAAATTCTCGTCGTAAAAAAAACAATAAAAACTTAAAAGCGTCTCGTATGGACAATTGAAGCTATATGGTTGTTTTGAAGTTCAACGTGAAATGTAAACCGAGTCCAGCGAACGCACATGGTTGAAATATTTCTTCCGAAGGTAAAATGCAAAGAAATTGATACTAACCATTAGCAGAAATGGATGTCGACCGTCTTCTCTTCCCCAAACGTCGACGCTATTCCTTCTTCAACGTAAGAATTTGCTTCTCGTGTAGAAGGAACTTGGAAGTACACATCTTACTCCGACGGCAAACATCTTAAAATGACAAAGAAGCACCTCTGATCAGCAATAGTCATCATGAATATACAACACAAGGTTACACCAATCGGCTAACAAATACGTCACGAATTTTTAACAAACAACACCCTTTGCACGCTTTCTTATGTACAACTTTGCATTTACTTTGTTCATATGGAGCCCACGGGGACCCGTCTGGACTGTATAAACGCAAAATGAGCGTTTTTCAAATTGTATTAAGCGTTTTTGTTGTTGTTGTTGTTGTTTGTTTGTTTGTTTGTTTTCGTTTTTGTTTTTGTTTTTTTGCAGTCATCGGATGCCAAGATCCGTTCATACTTATGGCTCACTAAAACCGCCCGATGGCCCAAAGCAATGTTTTTAAGTCATTATCAAGGCGGAGTCTCGACAAAACAATCAAAAAGCTATGGCTTGATGTGCTTCGTCTTTCGCGGGAAATGCAAGATTTGTTCACATAAAATTGGTAGTCCTTGCGAAACTAGTGTCGGTCCCAGGCGTAGAGAGTCACGCGGTTGCGGCGGGAACCCAAGGGGAAAGCGGGGGGGTTGCGAATAGTGGACCGCATGGATCGGAGAACTTGCGATGAAAACTTTCATATACATAGCTGATGACGGTTTGTTTTGCGTCAGAAAAAAAAAATATTCAGGTCTTTGATTAGCCCGACATCTTTATGAAATTTGTTTTTTTTAAGTCCATTGTTGCCTCTCGTTGTCTTTACAAAGATTCGTGTCTACTTTGCTCTCGTTTGCAAAAGGTGATTCACTCTTTTTTGAGTCTTCTCATATTGGTTACCAGCTTACTCAAATGTCCTATCGGCCGCCTCGAGTCGCTAGTTTAGTGTGAAGAAATCCACTGCTAAACCAAACAAGTGTAATCCAAGCATAACGCCAGATAGAGTAAACAGGAGTGCATTTTCATTTCCGGTAATTTTACAATTCGATCTGCCGCGATCTGGCCCGATTTGACCTTTATTGACAATTAAGTTTTGTGATTAATACCCGTTTGCTTATTCTCGTAAAGTGTGCATTACATGTTAGTTTTAGATCAGCTCATTGCAGTCACTAGAGCTTTCTTATGTTTGGGTTACATTTGGCTCTTCGAGACTTCAGTAATTTCGAACCTTCATAAATAGAGTTACCTACATTCTCACCCCCAGTAGCCTGCTTGGTAGCCGTTCAAATTAAAAGAGAAAGGAGAGGAGAAAACTAGAAGCACTAAGTGGGAATCTTACACTGGGCATGCGAAAATTCCTTACCCAGGAATGCAGCAGTCCCTCCATATCCTCGTGTCTCTGGTCACCTGGACACGAGGCAAAAAGGATTCGCGTGGAAAAAGTAATAGAGCATTCACGAGGACTGCCACGCAAAATGAAACAAGCGTAGAGCGCACGAGGGAACAGAAAAATTTGTGAAAGGTCAAAGGGTCGGGAATGTTCTCAGACACACGGGCTGACGCGGGCGACTCTGCGTGAAAAAAGCCAGAGGACCTCCAGGAGCAGTGAAAAACAAGCTGATTCTAAAAATCCAGGTGAAACGCGCGTGGAAACTAAAGCAAAGTAATCGCTTGTAGCACACGAATTAACGCGCGTGGACCTGCATTGAAAAAGCCTCTCAAACTTTGGGTGTGACGCGCGTGAAACGCTCGTAAGAACGCAAAATTTAAAACAGGGGGCCAAAGCTCGCAAGTTGGTGTATGATAGAAGACGTTTGTGACACACAGTTTAACGCGCGTGCATCTGCGTGGAAAAAGCCACAGTGAACGTGCGTTGCCGTCAAATCCCACGTTTTAAGTCCCCCTCGGATATAAGCCCTTCTATTTGCTAACAGAGTATTTTTCCGCCCATCTAATGCATGAGTGCGATCCTTTTGTGTTTCATTACAAACACCACCATTTTTAATCGAAGGTTATAGGCTAATAGGGTGATAATAGGGTAACAGCTTTAAATGTAATGGTATGTTAGGTTTAATTCGTTTCTCAGATACGTTTCATCTCGCCGAGTATAAGCTCCCCGTTTATAAGCCCACCCAAAACCCCTTATGAAGTTATACAAGCCCAGGACTTTAACTTGGTATTTTACGGTATTTCACGAGGAAATGTTTTCAAAACCTTTAAACTTGAATGTCAATATTTTTAATCCTCTGGAGCATAGACTTAACTTGCTTCAACTTATAAAAATATTAGATCTAAAATCACTTTACAGATCTTACAATTTCAACTTTGCGTCCTTTCCGGCCGTCATTTTCCTTTTCAATTGTACGCGACAGAAGAAACACATGAACTTCAAGCAAAAGAAAGAAAAGTAAAGTATTAACAGCCTTGTGAAGCCCTTAACCAAGACGTTTAAATGACAACCTGTTCGGTTGCCACCGGAAACGGTCATCAATGGAGTGCTTACGTGCCTATTCCTTAGCCAATCGAGAAGCAGAGTTAGTCTGTGAGGCTGAGATGTCAAAGAAACGATACACGTGCAATGGTTTGTGCTTTGATTGGCTGAAAGGTTTGGAAAACCAACAAAAAGTTGTCACAATAAATTAATCAATGTAGACGTTAAGGTGCAAAGTGGTTCACTGGAAGATTTCAGAAATGAGATAAAAGACGAGCTTTCTGACAATAACAAAAACACAAGCAGGACACGGCGGTCGGCTTTAGTAGCGCGTAACATTGAATAAACAAGATCTGTTTTCACTTATAAATTAGTTGTTATCATTTAGTAGATAGAATTTCTATCTGTCTGTACAATTTTCTACATCAGCAGAGCTCAATACTTCCGTATGCGTTCAGTTCTCTTGCGCAGATTCCCCTTTTGCCTCCGTACTCTTAGTATGCCCCGCGTTTGTATCAACTGGCTTCTCCTCAGTCACAGGCCTGCTCGGTTTCTCATCCGGGCTCTTCGCATCGCCATTTTCTTTCCCCTTCTCTTCTCCCTTCGTCTCCTTTTGTTCTTCTACTACAGAAACGTTAACCTTCTGTTCCGCATTCCTTTCACTGTCTCTTTTACTCTCGGCCTCCTTCGCTTTGTCTTTGGTCGACGCCTCAGGTTGGGCTTGGGACCGCTCTCTCCAGTTCGCCGATAGACTTCCGCTACTCGGTCGGAATTGGTTGCCGCTGTTTCCGCGGGGCCTGTAACCTGATTGTGATTGTTGTCTTTGTTGTTGATTTTTACTTCCGGTTCGTTGTCTGTGGTCCTGTCGGCCATGTTGTCTATTACCGTTGTTTTGGTTTGTCCTGGCGTCGTTGTGGTCGCTGTTTTTCCGTTGTCCTTCGTTTCTTCTGTCATCTTTTCCTTCGCTGTCCGTTCGTCGATTGCCTCCCGTGAACCAAGGCAAAGGTTTCTTTGTCTTTCCTTCTCTTGGTGGAGAAGAGGCTGGAAAAAACCAAACCACAGTAATGTCATTTACAAAACTTCCTCAAACGAAAATATCAAAACTTCTTACCAAATCTAACTACTGTTAGATGTTACTGAATAAAAGAATTCTTTTTTTTG